CCCCCCCCCCCCCCCCCTGTCCTCTCTCTCTCTCTCTCTCTCTCTCTCTCGGTGTGTGTGTGTGGGTATGTGTCTTCAGCCGATGACGAAGAGAACACCGACAAAGCGGAGCGCGCGAGCATGGAGCGCATGAAGACTCTCGCAGGAATCAAGTCAGTCAGTCAGTCAGTCGCTGGAATCAGTCACCGGCTGCCTTCAATCTCTCCTGCATCTGTGTCGGTGTCGGTGTGTTTGGTGTGCAGGAAGCCCCTGATAGCTGCCGTCAAGGGCACTGCGCTGGGCCGGGGCTGTGAGCTGGCCTTCATGTGTGACGCAATCGTCGCAAGCGACAAGGTCAGCCTAGACAACCCACCCCTCCACCAACTACACACAACACAACACAGTGTGGTCTGCCGGTGTTCAGGCGTCGTTCGGTCCTGGAGCGGACTCAGATTTCCGTAAGTGAGCAGCAGAGGCCGCAACAGACAGGGAGAAAGTGCTGATGTCTGTCTCCTCGGTGTGGTTGTTTGGCCCCAGATCTGCGTGATGCGCGGCGTCTGATGAAGACGGTCGGCACCCGGAATGCCATGCGCTTTCTAATGCGCAAGCGGCTCACCGCCAAAGAGGCACACGACCTGCGTAGGAAAACAACCTGACACCACCCACAGCAGCACATATATGACACTGCAGCATCTGTTTCTCCTTCCCCTCTGTGCTGTGTGTGCGTCTGCTTCCCCGCCCCCTCTGATATCAATCAGAGTTGGTGACGTCCGTCCATCCCACCGACGAGGTGGTAGACCGCGCTGAATCGATAGGGCACGACATCATCCAGGCGAGGCGGAAGGTGCACGCGGGAGGGATGCTCGGCGTCTTCTGCCTCGGCCCCATCATCGCCTACTTCTTCATTCTCGAGCCGATGCACAACGACAGTCTCTTCCAGTTCTGGAGAGTCGTTGGCGAGCGGCTCGGGTTCGCAAATGACGCGAGGGTGTGACCGGCTGATGGGCGGCTGGGCGGCTGGTTGGTTGTTGTGTGAGTGCTCTCTGTGTGGGTGAGAGATGGCTGTGCTATACGGACTTTTTGGTGAGGCCGGCGGTGACTGACTTGACTGGCTGACAGATGCAATCGTGTGACCGACAATCGGATTGAGTGAGTGGGCAGACAGAGCAATGTGTTCCCAACTCGTGTGCCTGCCTTATAGCTACGCACAAACGTCCGCATCACGTGTCGCGGGAACAGACAAGACAAGGCAAGACGCTCCAAATCCATTCATTCTTCACACGGTGGCCACACGCATCGCGCAATGGACGCTTCCCACCCCCTTGTCAGTCAGCACACCACACCATAGCGCAGCACCGTGCACCAACCACGGTCACCACCAGCACAGCTGAGACTCCGCATCTGTCTATCTGATGTCCTTGAGGTCAGGTATGACAAACTCGAGCAGCCCCTTGTTGAGCACCAGCTCCAGCAGCACGATGCCCACGAAGCCCATCATCGCCCACCGCCCGTTCAGCCGCTCAGGCCACTGGTGGAATCCCACCTTGGGCTCGATGCTGCTGTTCGGACCGATGTCGTACTTGGTCTCGTAGAAGTCACGCGGCTGCACCGACGGCAGCCGAGTCAGTGCCGCTGCTCCTGCTCCTGCTGCTGCTGCTGCTCCTTCTCGATAATGCATGGCACTGGCAGGATGGTTGCGATGGAGCGAAGAGGGAGATCTGCTCAGCGGCGGGGCGGAAGGTGGTGGCTGGAAGGCCTCAGTGGCCGATAGGAGAGCCGCGAGGGCGACGGCAACGCATAGAAGCGCCTGCATTTCTGCCAGAGCAGCGATCGGCGGTTTCGCATCTGCGAGCTTAAAGAGGCAGAGCGTGTGCAAGACGGCGTGGGGGCGGCTGTTGCCAGTGTCGAGGCGACTCAGTAGACCCATCAGTTCATCTGGCATTTGGCCGCTGCGTCAGTGTGTTAGCGGCAGGATGACGCTCGAGAACGGTCTGTCGCTCAAGGATGAGGTGCAGCGGATGCGCGCCGAGGTGGCGACGCAGGGCGAGCGGGTGCGCAAGCTCAAGAAGGACGGCGCGGTCAAGGCGGCCATCGACACGGAGGTCTCGACACTGTCCGACCTCAAGGCCAAGCTGCAGCAGAAGGAGAAGCAGCTCGAGGAGAGCACGCCGCTGTACACCCGCTGCCGCGAGCCGCTCGAGAACCTGGTCAAGCGGCGGCTGTTTGTGATCCCGGGCTTCGAGATCTATGGTGGCGTAGCGGGGCTATTTGACTTCGGTCCGCCTGGGTGTGCGCTCAAGGCTGAGGTGGAGGCGCTGTGGCGGCGGCACTTTGTGCTGCACGAGGACATGCTTGAGGTGTCGGGCACTTGCCTGACGCCCGAGGTGGTCCTCAAGACCTCCGGCCACGTCGACCGCTTCACCGACCTGATGGTCAAGGACACCGTCACGGGCGAGTGCTACCGGGCCGACAAGATCCTCGAGGAACAGATTGAGGCCAAGCAGAAGGCCGGCCTGCCCCCAGACGAGCACGACAGGCTGGAGAAGCTCAAGGTGCAGGCGGACGCACTCAGCAGTGAGGAAATGCACCAGGCCTTCCTGGATTTGGGCATCAAGTCGCCCGACGGCAACGGATTCTCGACGCCCTTCCCCTTCAACCTCATGTTCAAGACGTCCATCGGGCCCAAGGGGGACCTGGTGGGCTACCTGCGGCCCGAGACAGCCCAGGGCATCTTCGTCAACTTCAGGCGGCTGCTCGAGTTCAACGGAGGCAAGATGCCCTTCGCCGCCGCTCAGCTGGGTTTGGGCTTCCGCAATGAGATCGCACCGAGGTCCGGGCTGCTGCGCGTCAGAGAGTTCCAGGTGATCAGCCGCGGAGGGAGGGAGGGAAAGTGGTTAGACGGGAGCATGGCTGTTGTCTGCCTGTGTGAATGTGTGTGTGTGTGTGTGTGTTTGTGTGTGTGTGTTGTGCTTGCAGATGGGTGAGATTGAGCATTTTGTGCACCCCGACCACAAAGAGCACCCCAAGTTCGGCGCAGTCAAGGACATGAAGTTGCCCCTGTTTCCCAGAGACCGACAGCTGGGCGACGGCAAGGTAAGGTCACCCAGCCACCTTGGCAAAACAGTCAGCCCACCAGCGGGCAGCACGTGTGTGTGTGTGTGTGTGTGGTTGTAGGTTGTGATGGACATGACCCTCGAGCATGCCGTCCAGACCAAAGTCATCAACAACGAGACTCTCGCGTAGGCCATGTGCAGCCATACATCCACACAAAGAGGGAGAGATGCGTGTGTATCTGTGTGTGTGCCGTGCTTGTGCAGTTATTTCCTGGCCCGTACCTACCTGTTTCTGACCAAGTGCGGCATCCAGCACGTCGGCATGAGGTTCCGTCAGCACCTCGAGACAGAAATGGCGCACTACGCATGCGACTGCTGGGTGGCTGGGCGGACACACAGAGGGCGCAAGACCCATATAGCGGCTGGCTTCATGCCGTTGGTTTGGCTGGCTGTCTGCAGGATTGTGAGATCGAGACGTCTTACGGCTGGGTTGAGTGCGTGGGCCACGCCGACAGATCGGCATACGACCTCTCACACCACACCAAGGCAAGCAGGCTCCCCAAGCCATCTTATTGGCTGAGTGCACTGTCCGACTTGGCTGGCACTGCAGGCGAGCAAAGTCGATCTGGTGGCGCAACACAAATTCGACGCGCCCCGCGACATTGAGTACGTCAAGTTCACGCCCAACCGGCCTAAGCTGGGGCAGGCCTTCAAGCAGGACCAGGCGGCTGTCATTGAGGCACTCGAGGAGAAACCTGACCAAGAGAGACTCCACATACAGCAACAGGTGAGTGGGCAGGAGGGCAGGCAGTGGGTGACTGTGTTGACATGACTGACCTGTCTGAACCCATCACCACATCTGCAGCTGGACGCGAGCGGCACTTACGAGCTGAAGCTGTGCACGGGCCAGTCGTTCACCATCACCAAGGAAATGGCCAAATTCGAAAAGGCCGTCAAGAGAGGTCAGCGACTGAGGCATGCAGGCCGCCCCACCAAGAGGACACATCCACACATCCCTGCCTGCCTGTGTGTCTGTCTGTGGGTCTGTGTGTGTCTGTGTGTCTGTGGGTCTGTGTTGTGCTGCGTGCAGTGGCTGTGGAGGCGTACGTGCCGGCGGTTATCGAGCCGTCCTTTGGCATTGGCCGCATTATCTACTGTATCCTCGAACACACTTTCCGCTCCAGAGGCATCCAGGTACACACACAGGGAGCCACACAGACACCCATCGGCAGACAGACAGACAGACACAACGACTGTTTGGTGGTTGGCTGTGCTGTGTGCTCATCTCTCACCCCATCCATCCATCAATGCATCCGTCAGGATCAGGAAGAGCGCTGTTTCCTGTCGCTGCCACCGGTGATAGCGCCCATCAAGTGCTCCGTGCTGCCCATCTCCGCCAACACTCAGTTCGACGACCTCATCAACCAGCTCAAGGAACAGCTCACCTACCACGGCGTCTCGTCTCAGGTCGACAGCACGTCGGCATCCATCGGCAGGTCGGCATTATCACCGTGAGACACACACACACACACACTCGGACACAGAAGCGGCGCCTTCCTCTGGTTGCTTTGTGCGCATCGATCATGCAGGCGCTACGCGCGCACCGACGAGCTGGGAATTCCTTTCGGCATCACTGTTGACTTCCAGTCGGTCAAGGACAGCACTGTCACACTCAGAGAGCGCGACTCGATGAAACAAATCAGAGTCCCGGTGAGTCCGTCCACCTGCTGCAATTCCATTTGTATTGGATGGGATGGCATTGGTTGTGCAGGCGATTGAGATTCCCGAGTTGGTCCACAACATGGTGGCTGGCCGCACGACGTGGGACAAGGCGAGAGACAAGTACCCGGAGTTCATCGCACAGGAGGCATGACTGACTCGGTGGCTCTGATTCCGTGTAATGTAGCTGCCTGCAGCCGCCTGATAGATGCGATAGATACAAATGTCTGTCTGTCTGTGTCTGTCGATGCGTGTCACTGCATGGGTGCGCATGGCACCCATGCAGTGATGTGATTTTGTTGCCTCATTGCAATGTGTGTGTGACGTCGTTATGTAATTTTCATTTTGGTCAATCAACGAACCAATTCAATTCACGTGTGTGTGTGTGTGTGTGCCTCTGTGTGTGACTGTTTGTTAATCTGTCTGCCTGTGTCGCTGGCTGTGCGTGTCGTGCGCTGAACGAACAATCCATCCATCCGTCCGTCATGATCAATCAATGTGTGTGTGTGTGTGTGTACTGTGGGCCTCGACAGCCGCTGAATCCATTGCCTGCACTCGTCTGCCATGCCAACCATGTGTGCGCGTCTGCTGCTGATGGCTGCAGCTGTGTTGTCTTCGGTGTGCGTCGGCTTATAATGATGAGAATGAGCCGCGGTGAGGACATTTCTGTGGCGGTGCGGCGACGTCTGACACTCATAAAGTATCCCAATCCCATCGACAGCCCTCGACACCTCTGACTCTCTATCCCCTGGTGAGTGAGACACACAGTCAGAGAAACATGCTTGTCATTCTCTCAATCACTCAAGTCACGTGTGTCTCTCTTGCACCGGATGTGTCTGTTGTATCTCTCCTTCGGTGTGTGGGGTTGCCTACAGAAACGAGGGCCGCCGAAGGGATTTGACCGTGTGACGCATCAACTGCAATGTGTGTATGCGCATTTGGCGGGGTGTCGATGTGTGTACACCAGCGCGCGTCTGTCACGTATACATGCGTACGTACATATTTGTTGTCATATACGTACATACTTGTTGAAGACGTGGATGACAATTCATGCGTTTCAATGAAAGGACGCCTGAATGATTTGTTCCAATCTATGTGTTTGAATCTATGTGTTTGAATGAATCCGTCCATCCATCCACCATGCACTGGTCCGTTCAGCGGTGTCGACATATCCGTGTGTGTCCATACCATATGAGTGTTCCCATGCACCCACCCACCCGCCCATCCATCCGACAAGCCGTATCACGTGATGTCTTGTCATGTCTTCTCCGTGTGTGTTCTCCGTGTGTGTGTGGCTGCCCACCCGTCAGACAGTCGGCCGCTCGCCTGTTGGAGCATACAACCACATGACCGGTCGGCGGACACAAACAACACACCCACAACACACAACACACGTGCACGAAGGCGAGCCAGCTGAAGGTAAACACTTGCCTGCCTCGCTACACGAACGCTCCCATGGGCGACGTCATTCCATCGACCCACACCCACACGTATGCAGCCGTCATCCCTGTGGGCCCATCACGTCTTTGTGGGCAAACGGACAGCACGACGGTCGATGCTGCACACGTGTACGCATACATGTAGTATGAGACGATCGATCAGTGAAGCAGTCAGATAGGTACAGACGTACGTACGTATGTATGTGTCTTACGGGCCACGAAGCCCAAAATAACGCCCACCAGTCACGTCAAACTCACTACGGTCCAAATTACATATCAGGGCAGCCACACACACGCTCTCACTCACTCAGTCATGCGCTCCCCCTCCCCCCCGGTGTCCCCCCATGTGTGGATGCACAACCAATCAAAGACAGGCAAGCGAGACAGTGAGTCGCTTAATTGCGGTTTCGGCTGGCAATGACGTTCGTCTCCAGGGTGAGGCAGTCCGCGCGTGCCTGAGCAGCGGCGGGGCTGCGGAGGTGGGCGTCAGTGGACTTGACGTCGATGCAGGCCTGCAGCTGCAGCTCGATGGCCTTGGCCTCGTCGCCGTGCTCCTCGGCCCACTTCTCGTCACACCAGTCCCACAGGCACGACTGAGATAGGGAGAAAGTGACAACACAGCACAGCACAGCACAGACACACCATGGCAACTCTGTGTGTCCCTCTGTCTGTCTATCTGTCTGCCCATGTGCTGTCCGTACGTGTGTCCAGCAGAGGACGTCGAACGGATGGCAAGACCAGCAGCAGTGCTTGTCATCATCCGGCTTGGCTGCAGTCAATCAGTCAACGGGTAACAACACGCACCCAATACATGCGTGTGTGTGTGTGTGCGGTGTGCGTACGAGTGGGGGTCGTCTTGGGCGGGGGAGTGGTCTTCTCCATGTGGCGCTTGTCGGGCAGGCAGGCAGAGAAGGAGCACTCATGCTTCCAGCACTCGTGGTCAACTGCGTGACGCATCAACCAAACCACATCAGTGCGTGTGCGCGCGTGCGCGTGTGCGGGGAAGAGGTGGTGCTTGCTTACGGATGTGGCAGTGGAGGCAGCACTTGCCGTCCCTGTCGTAAGGGTACTTGGGTCTCTCTGCACACACACACACACACACACACACACACGCACAGACAGACAGGCAGGCAGGCAGGCAGGCAGACAGGGAGCATACCACAGCACACACACACCACACACATCACATGAGACATGTCTCATGCCTTCTTCCCCTCCCTCCCTCCCTCCCTCCCCGTTCCTACTGGTCGGCTTGGGCGTCGTGGTGGGCTCCGGTGTGGTCGTCTCGTTGTCACCGTCAGTGCCGTCAGTGCCGTCAGCGCCGTCAGCGCCGTCAGCGCCGTCAGCGCCGTCAGCGCCGTCAGCGCCGTCAGCGCCGTCAGCGCCGTCAGTCCCGTCAGCGCCGTCAGTGCCGTCAGTGCCGTCAACTGGCTCGGGTTCATTCTGGAGCCGACGTGGCACTTCCTGTGCCGCCGCCAAGGCGAGCAGGCCGATAAGGGCAAGAGCGAAGAGGGTCCTCATCGTGGTGACGATGCTGGCGGGGGAGCGAAACGACTGGGAAAGGGGAAGGGGACGAGAAACTAAGGAAGAGAGACAAAGGAAAAGAGAATGGATCACGAGAACCGAATGTGTACGCACGCTGTAGCCAATCCGCAACGGCCGGCCGTTACGGCGCCGTTAGCGGCGGTGCGAGCTTCTTCAATCTGAGCCCGCAAAGAATGCCTAGGTGGCTGCTGTTGTCTGCTGTGATAATGGTGGTTGAAATGTTCACTGATTACCAGAGATCGAGTCGTCAAAACAACAGTTGATTGATCGGTAACATGATTGGTATGCGAACCAAAGCAAACAGTCTCCGCGCGTGTCCATATGAGTGTTCTCATGCATCCATCCATCCATCGCTCGACAGCACGTGACTTCTGTGGTTTGTGTGGCTATCGGCCCGTCAGTCAGTCGGTCGCTCGCGTGTTGGGAGCACCCAACCGACGACCGGCCGACAGACACAAACAAACAAACAAAACAAAACAAAAACAAACAAGACACACAAGACACACGACGACACACAAAACAACCACACACAGCACACGTGCATGAAGGCGACCCAGCGCAAGAAAAACCTGCCTCACTCATCCGAAGGCTTTCATGGATGACACGACGTCCACCGACCCTCAATGACCCACCCACGCAAAAACAGGCAGACACGCACTCACACCCACACCCTTACCCACACGTATGCAGCCGTCATCTCTGTGGGCCCATCCTGTCTTTGTGGGCAAACGGACAGCACGACGGTTGACGTACGTGTATATATACATGGAGTATGAGACGAATGGACGAATAGACCAATGGACCAACGAACGATCGAGCAGAAAGCAATCGATATCAGGAACGCGCGTGTGTACGTATGCCATGTGCCCTGAAGCCGAAAAGAAACCCCACACCCGATATGTACACCACTGCACATTGCAAATTACATATCAGGGCAGCCACACACGCACACGCACACACACAGACACACGCTCTCACTCACGTAGACAGATGGTGAATGAAGGAACGAATGGACGAACAACCGGCCTCCCCCCTCCCCGCCTCCCATGTGTCGATACACAATCAAAGACAGGCAAGCAAGACAGGCAGTTGATTAGTTGAGGTTGGCCTGTCGGCTGGCGATGATGTTGTTCTCCAGGGTGAGGCACCGCTCGCGTGCCTCGGCAGCGGAGGGGCTGCGGAGGTGGGCTTCAGTGAGCTTGAGGTCGGTGCAGGCCTGCAGCTGAAGCTCGATGGCCTTGATTTGGTCGGCGTTCTGCTCAGCCCACTTGTCGTCACACCAGTCCCAACCGCACGACTGAGACAATGCCGCATAACACAACACAGCACAGCACAGCACAGACACAGCATGGCAACTCAGTCTGGTCTCTGCCCATGTGCTGTCCGTACGTGTGTCCAGCAGAAGAGATCAAATGCATGGCAGTCCCAGCAGCAGTTCTTGTCATCATCCGGCTTGGCTGCAGTCAGTCGGTCAGTCAGTCAGTCAAGAGGCAACAACAAGTTGGGATCAATCGCCTCCGTGTGTGTGCGGTGTGCGTACGAGTGGGGGGCGGGGGAGTGGTCTTCTCAACGTGGCGCTTGTCGGGCAGGCAGGCACTGAAAGAGCATTCGTACTTCCAGCACTCGTGGTCGACTGCAATATCAACCACACAAAAGGCGCACACAGAGGGAGGCATCAGTGTGTGTATGTAGGTGTGCGTGTGCGTGTGCGTGTGTGCGAGGGGGAGGTGGTGCTTGCTTACGGATGTGGCAGTGGAGGCAGCACTTGCCGTCCTTGTCGTGAGGGTACTTTGGTCTCTCTGCACACACACACACACA